TTCTATTCATAACATTTCCAGAAATGGAATATCTATTTATCACTGCTGCAATAATCTGTGTTTTATGACAGTTTTGCCAAAAATTGGCAATTACTTCCAATTTTTGGCAAAACTGCACCTATAGCGAAGGATTGGTCCACTGCAGCTCATAAAATTGGGTTTGTTGACTAACTTGCTTTATGACCATCACAACTGACAATTGTGATGGGCAGACTGTTTTATGGTCATAAGGCATAAAATATTCATGCTGTGACTAAAGAATCCGTCTGCAAGGAAAGTGTTTTAGTTACAGCCCAGCAGTTCAAACCGCTGGCAAAATCTTTTTTCTTTGATGAACTGCATCCCACAAACTCTCTTTATATAAACAAAGTTCTTCCACTGCTTCTAGTTACCGATGAAGGGTTACTTTTGTATTGACGGGGCAAATTTCATTGTTTTAGGCAAATTCCATTTTTCCCTCTAATGAATTGCATAATTAAATTCCAGAGGGACAAGTTGTACAAAGCAGTTATGTGAATTGACCACACAAGTTGGAAAGAGCTTATGGCTGATCTTCAAACATACTTTATTACCTTATTTCAAAATGAAGAAAAGCCCAGCCAAGACTATCTGTTCTCCATCCTCAAATGCCCTCTGGACAGAAATATGGGATATAAATCATAATAAAACTTTAAATAACCCTCTCACTGAATTCAAGCTGAATCAATGGGGAGTTAAATCAGGCTACGGGGAAAAAACAGTTCTTCTTCCATCTGAAATCCTGGAAAACTTTTGCTCTTGTGAAGGACTAATGTTCAGTTCATATCCCAGTATGCCAAGTCAAAGAACCAGGAAAAAATAAATAACTGTGGTTCCAAGCTGGTTTGCTCAGGCAACCATAGCTGACTGCAGTTTCATCTAGTGGTTAAAATGCTAAGAAGAGGTGAATTCTAGTCCTGCCTTAGACATGAAAACCATCTATCTGGCTGGGTCAATCACCAGGAGATGCTGAGTTCTAGTCCTGCCTTAGTTGTGAAAGCTGGCTGGGTGACTTTGGGCCATTCAACTTATCTCAAAGAGTTGTTTTTATCAGGAAAACAGGAGGAAGAAGTCCCCGACTTACAACTGTTCATTTAATGACTGTTCAAAGTTGCAAAATTGAAAAAAGTGATCTATGACCATTTTTCACACTTATGACCGTTGCAATATCCCCACAGTCACAGGATTTACATTCAGTTGCTTGACATCTGACTCACATTTATGACAGTTGCAGTGTCCCAGAGTCCTTTGATCCCCTTTTGTGACCTTGTGACAAGCAAAGCACTTGGGGAAGGCAGATTCCGGGGTACCGATTTAACAACTGCAGCGATTCACTTAACAAATGTGGTGAGTTGTTAAATGGGACAAAATACACTGAACAAATTTCTCACTTAGCAACATAAATTTTGAGCTCAATTGTGGTCGTAAACTGAGGACTACCTATATTATGTGTGTTCACTGCTTTGAATTAATAAATAACCAAATACATAAATAAATGATCTGGTTATTCAGATATTTGGTTTGCTAGTTAGAATCAGAGCAAAGCAACCCAAATTCCTTAGAAGAAACAAAACATGCAATGCTTGTGATCTGATCTGATCAGGGACTGGGAAAAAGATAGATTTGAGCTTTGTCTTGCAGACCTCACTGGTGAACAAAACCACGCAGGTCTTCTTGGGGTTTCTCCTCCAACTCTCCCGAAGCAACATCTGGGGAAAAAAAGGTTTCTGGGAGGAATTGCCATCTAGTGGAGTCCTCGGGCATTGACTTGTACACGGCCCGCTCTATTCCCCTTGGCATCCAAAAATGGAGGGGGGGGGATGGTAATTGGAACCATCCCTAGAAAAATCCCACCCAATTAAGTTGACAGCATTTTTGAAATAGTTCTGTCTCCAAAGGAAACCGAACTGAACTCTGCAGCAGTTCAACTCTAGGCAGAAGGATTCCCGCTTAGACCCTCACCCCACCCCAGCCAAGGGAAGCAGCTTCTCTGCTCTGGGTTCCTTGGACTTTGTGGCTTAATGGGCAGCATGCATGTCTACAGACCAAGATGTGACCAGTTAGGCAGGTTGTCAGCACCTCGGTTGAACGTGGTCTCGCTTGTGTTTTACTCCACGTTGTTGAAGTGCCAGGAGCTCATCAACCAAAGAAGGTTCCCCTTCAGCAGTGTTCCTCAAGCGTGGCAACTTTAAGATGTGTGGACATAAAGTTGTCAAGCCTGAGAAATATCGTCCTTTCGGAAGACATTTAACAAAAAAATCCTTTCCCAGCAACATTATTCATGATCTAGACATACATGGAGAACATGCATCCCAAGCCTGTTCAACAGTTTCCATATCCGAAAGAGCCCAGATTAACCTCCAGAGACCTATTCCCTTCTTGGCTTCAAAGCAGCTTTCCAGAGAAGTTCACTGGCATGTTCTGGCTGGGAACCATTGCATGTTAATGATTTATCGTGAAGTAGAAATTGAGCTATGTGGGTCATTCGCAGTACATTTGCTCTCCCTGCCATATCATGGCCCCATCATCTTCCACCGAAGAACCTGGTGGTCCCATGCACACCACATACTGTTGAGGTCTCGCCTTGGCTTGGTTGTCTTGCGCTGGAGGGTAGTTGGTGGACGAGGCCTACTCAATTTCAGTTCTGATGGACTGTGCAAATTTAGGAAATGGGGTTGCTTCCATAGCCGAACGTTGACAAAGCTGATGTGCACTGCAAGGCAGTAGCCACCGTTTAGGGCTTCTCAAGCAGGTCCACAAGGAGAAGAAAGAAAGAAGTGCCCAGCATGGTGATGGAGGGAGATGTGAAAAACAGATGGACTTTGAAAATACTGTTGTGGGCACCAGTACTTTGACTTTTTTGCCATACCTTACAGACACACCTACCTATCTGGGGGGAAGGTGGACTTTACCCCCAGTATATATGAATGGAAAAACAGTAATATGGTATATTAGCATGGATTCTTCTGTGTCTTGACAAGGTCCATCTCTCCTCCTCCCTATCTCTTTCTCTCATACCTGACATTCCTTCCTCATCCAATTTTCTCCACAACAATAATCCTGTCAAGTGATTTGGATGGAGAGAGAGTGGTTGGCTCAAAGTCATTCAGATGCCTTTCATCACTACAGCAGGACTAGAACTCACCATCTCCTGATTCCCAGCCTGATACACCAAATCATCTATACCATTTTAAATTATAATATAATATATAATTTACAATAATAATATAATTAATGTAATACAATGTAATATAATATAATAATGTTATACAGTATTACATTACATATAAAATTGATATATGTAGTCATACCTAGCGATACAAATTATGACTAGAGAGACAATATGTGCCAGTCTGTTAAACCCACAAAAGGTCCATATTTCCAGCTGAAAGGAACAGAGAGCAGGAGGGGCATCTCCTGGCTGGCATCACCAGCCTAAGAACTTATAAGCACAATATTAGGAGAAGGAAGAAAGTCCAACTTCTAAACCCAAATGTTGGGATTGATCATTCTGTTTGAGTGGCATGCATTTTTTTTAAAAGAGTAGACTGACAGTCAATCCCGTAACACAACCTTTTTCAGGAACCAATGGAAGGAATAGGATAGCGTAAAGAGAAATTTTCATATGAGTTTAAAAGAGAGAGTGCAAGTGAGCAGCAATAGATAGTATATTTTTTGGAGAGAGAGAAAAGAAGAGTTTGGAGTTGCAACAAACAACCAAACTAGGAATCCTTACTTTCTTTTGCAGCACAAGAAAACTGCCCTACATCAAGAATAGAATTCATCTCGGCCAAGATATCAATTGACAACATCTTTCAAATTTTTAGGTTCACTGGATTGGTCTCCTATGAAGTCAAATCTAGGTCCTTCCAGCTTTGTATTTAGCACAATTTTCAAAATTATAGGCAGAGTTTCAGCATCAGAGCACAGCAGATGCCACAAGCTGGACCTTGAACCTTGATTCCTCAGCTGCTCATATGTGAAAGCTACTTCTATAGCTTTCATTATCCTATGATAGTGGACTCTTCTCATTGACAAATATCTCTCCAAAGTTCCAGGTAGAGCCAGGTCCTAACAAATTTCCAAATGTCTCCACTCAGTTTGTGCAAAGATTCTTGAATGGCCAATTCCTGTTGGAGATCTTCTCTTGAGATTGAAGGAAAGTAGAAGACCACCAGTCTTGAGACTGTTCCCAATTCTGCTAAGTAACTGTCAGGTGACTCTGCGCCATACACGAAGTGCCTTTTAGTCAGATTGAATGAGAATGAGCAAGGAAAAATAAAACATCTTTCCTTTACCCAATCTCTATTTTTTATGCTTAAACAAGTATGCCAAGGATTACCATGGTCCCTTCTTTGGGCAAAGGAATGCTCTATAAGTGGACTTATTCGTGCATTTGTGAACAGATCCCAAAACTGGGATTCATAAAAGCATGAACAACAGTAAGGAAAGACAAAGATACTGAAGTCACTAGTTTTATCTAGTAATCTCACCAATGACATATAGCAAGGGTGTCCAACCTTAGCAACTTTAGGACTTTATGGTCTTCAACTCCTAGAATTCCCCAGCCAGCATGGATGACTGGGGCATTCTGGTAGTTGAAGTCCTCAAGTCTTCAAGTTGCCAAGGTTGGTCATCCTTGCTATATAGTTTGATTCCTGGGCATGCTTGAAGTCAAGCTAACATCCAGAGCTGGAAAATAAGAGGCCATTCACCTTCAGCAAGGCGCTCGGTGTGGCTGGTGAGGTTTTGCACTCTGACTGCTCCAAAAAAGTTCTTGAAGTCCAGAGCTTCTTCATTCTCCGCTCCTGTCAGGACGGAGTGCCCAAAAGGATACTGAGCGACTCAGGTGAGCGGCAGACAGGAAAAAACTAGAGCCCTTCCAAGCTGCAGCAAAGGGCCCTGGGAACTGCAGTCCACATTGGCCCCAAAATCTGGAAGGCTTCCAGGCAATTTGCAAGACCAAGCGGGCACGCACTTACCTTGAAGCGCCAGCATTAGGCAAAGGGCCGTGGCTATCTCCAACCTGACAGTCATGTTCTGATGTGGCTGAGATGGGTCCTTTGGCAGCAGGAGGTGCCCAGCCCAGGATGCCCTCTTGGGCACCAGGAAAGCTGCCAAGGTAGCAACCTCGCTGGCTGGGGTGGAAATCGTCCAGAAGATGTCGGAGCTGGCTGGAAAGGAAAACGGGGGGGTCCTCTCCTTCTCTCCCGATGCTGCCAAAATCGCCCCGGCCCTTCCCTCCCAGTCTCCGGCGATCTCGCTCTCTCTCTCCGGCGAGGAGGGGAGCCGAGGCTTCGAAGTTGGCAGAACCGGCGGGGCTCCCGATCTTCGCGGGGTCCCGGGCTCCTCCCGGTTAGCAGGTGTTCCCGGGACCGGCGAAGGCAGCTCACGCCCGGAGCGGCTCGGGGCGGGGGCGGGGAGGCAGGGAGGTCGGGCGCCAACTTCTCCGCAACTCGCGAAAGTCTCCGGATTGGGCTTTTAAGCGGGGCGGGGGGGGGGAAGCGGAGGAGTCGCCCGCCTGCCAGAGGCGACCGGGGTCTGCGGCGCCTTCCAAGGTCCGGGGCTGGTCCAAGGGAGACCGGGGACTGTCATTTCCCCCTCGCCCCCCTCCCAGCCGGAATATCGCCTTTTCCTGGGATGTTGGGCTGCTTGAGCGGGGAAGGAGTGGAGGAAGGCGAGACGTCAGCAGCCAACGGCCCAGAGAGAGGAGCCCCCCCCCCCCCCCCCCCCCCCCCCCCCCCCCCCCCCCCCCCCCCCTTGCTTCTGGCTGCGAAGAAACCCCGCGGCTACTTCCGGTTGCTTTACTTGGGGCCACTTTGCGCCCCCCCGGCCCGCAAAGGCATTCACTTGTTCGCGTGCAAGCCAGCTTTTGCACAGGTTTGGCCAGCGATGCCTGAGCGGCGATTAGAAGCGGGGAGGAGGAGGAGGAGGAGGAGGTCTAGCCGTTCCGGATTTGGAAAACGTCTCTCTCTAGAACATAAGACAACAGAGTTGGAAGGGACCTTGGGGGTCATCTAGTCCGACTCCCTGCACAAGCAGGAGAGCCTACAGGTAGCCCTCGACTTACAATAGTTCACTTAGTGACCTTTCAGAGTTACACCATCCGGCACTGAAAAAAAGGTGACTTATGACCATTGTAGCATCCCCACAATCCCGTGGTTTCCATTTGGATGCTTGAGGTGCGGTTCACATTTATGACAGTTGCAGTGTCAGAAGGCCCTTTTGCGACCTTCAATGGGGAAGCCCGATCCACTTAACCACCATGTTACCAATTTACCAATTGTGGCAAGAAAAGTTGTAAAATGGGGCAAAACTCACTTAACAAATGTCTCACTTAACAACATGAATTTTGGACTCAATTGTGGTCATAAGTCAAGGACTACCTGCATACCATTCCAGACAAATGGCTGTCCAGTCTCTTCTTAAAAGCCTCCCGTAATGGAGCAGCCACAACTTTTGAAGGCAAGTTGTTCCACTGGTTGATTTCTCTCTCTCTCTCTGTCATCTATCTCTCTATGTCATTATCTGTCTCTCTGTCTGTCTGCCTATCTTCCCTCTCCCTCTCCCTCTTATCTATTTATCTATGTCTCTCTGTCTGTCTAGCAACTATCTATCTAGAAGCCACTAATCTCCAAGGTCTTTGGGGACCTTGTACAAATAAGATTTTAATCTGAGTTTAGTTCTGAGATTTGCTGACTTTCTTTCTCTGTCTGCAAGCCTACCTCATCTGGTTGTTGTGAGGATATGCCAAATAGAAGGCCTTGCATCCTGAGACTGTGTCTTGTCAACAAAAGCCAGCATTCTCATGGGGGTCTTGGGAATTGTAGTCTGAGGCACCTGCAAAGCATTGGATTGTTGCAGAGAAACAAGATAAGTTTGTGAAAATTTATCAAACTGGATGGTGGCAGTTTATGGGATTGCCACGGAGGAGGGGGTGATGATAAAAATAAAAAATATTTACGAACAGATCTCTTGGGAACAGATCTTTACTTTCAGATTTCTCTAGATCATATATATGATGATAGGGAGCATAAGTGTGTTTTGAGCAGTTGAAGTAGGTACAATAAACAAGGGGTTTAAATCCCAGCAGCTCAGCTTGAATGGGATTTTCTGTGACTGTCCACAGGGAGGGAGTCAAAGAAGCAAAGATGTCTACTGCAGCTCAACAACTGAAGCCCTTCCCCTTTGGATATCTATTGCGGTGCACATGAAATGGGGGGTGGGATGGAGCTCCAATGGCTCTGCTCTTCCCCCATCTTCACTTTTTAAACAACCTCCCCGCATACCTGCAGGCACCTCTGTGGTTGCTCATCTGGTCAGAGTGCGTGGTGTCACCCAGATTTCAAAATCTGAAGGAAGATTGAGAGCTGATTTGTAGAAGAACCCTGCCTTTTCCCCAGAGAACTCAAGATGGGGCCCATGGCTTCTTCACCACTTTTTATCCACCTAGGAACCATGGATGGATGGATGGATGGATGGATGGATACTGTAGGTAAAGAAAGATTATACACAAGAGATAGATAGATAGATAGATAGATAGATAGATAGATAGATAGATAGATAGATAGATAGACAGACAGACAGACAGATAGGCAGGCAGATGGATGACAGGTAAGGGTGTGTGTGTGTGTGTGTGTGTGTGTGTGTGTATGTGTGTGAGAGAGGGGAGGTGGGGGGGTGTTATTATATTCCATCCCAAATATTATGCTATAGAACAATGAAGGACTGAATTTCATCAAGGAAAAAGAAGGACAAAACAGAAAACAATTGAAAAAGGAATTTTATTTATTTATAAATATATTTACTTATAGATGTGGCATTCAACATCATGTTGGCAAGTCAATAAAATGCATCTTCCTCTCTCTGGCAAAGTTTCCTAAACTGTGTAGAACTGGTGGCCTTTTCTTTTTTCCATACCATTCTTCCCTTTTGTGGCCCTCAAATCTATAAAATAGAACGTCATCATTATTGCAGGGCAGGTTTAAAAATAACCACCAACCGAATGAACCTATCCATGTCATTCTGGGAAAAGAGAAATTGCCTAATGTGTGAGATCTCACTTCCATTTCTCCACAGATCAGTGCCTGGGTGTTATATTAGCTTTGTTGCAACACCTCCCAGGAAAGACAAAAGAAGGCGATGTCAATTTTCCACTCTCCAACCATGCTTTCCACAACACAGTTGCCAACTTTGCGTGCCTACAGTGAAAACAGGGCAACAATTATTCATTTAGAAAATTTGCATTGCTAGTTTACTTTTACAGGATAATCCTAGGTGACTTATGGCAACTTTCCATAAAAACAAAAAAAACATACATATAAATCTCCGAGGACAAGCTGAACAAGGACAAGAGGGCGGGGATGTCTAGAGAAGGTTCTCTTCTTAGACCCCAACATTTGGACTTATTTAACCAATGGGGTATGAAATATGTGCTCCCTGCTTGCCCAAGAGGGATGGGTCAATGAAGTCAGGATGAGATGGTAACCTGATCCCATGACATCAATAATAGAGTCGGAAGGGACTTTCTAGTCCACCCCTGCTCAGGCAGGAGATAAATTATTGTCCAATCTCTTCTTAAAAACTTCCAGTCTTGGAGCATCCACAACTTCTGAAGTTCCACTGTTGCAATGCAACTTTTCTAAATTCTCTCCATGGGAAGTTTCTCCTCAATTCCAGGTTGCTTCTCTCCTTGATTAGTTTCTATCCATTGTTTCTTGCCTTCACCTGCTTTGGAGAATAGGTTGGCCCCTTCCTCTTCTTTGTGGCAGCTCCTAAAATATTGGAAGACTGCTAACATGTCGCCCCTAGTTCTTATTTTCACTAGACTAGACATACCCAATGCCTGCAACCATTCTTCATAATGTTTTAGCCTTCAGTTCTCTAATTATCTTTGTTGCTCTTTTCTGCACTCAATTTTATAATATGGTGACCAAAATTGGACCAGGATTCTAAGTGTGGTTACTAAGGCTCCATAAAGTGGTGCTAGTGAGGTACTTTAGTGGCGGTAACCAACATCCTGAACTGGACTCACAAACACACTAGCACCCAACCTAGCACACATTGCAGAAATGCTACATATGCAACTCTAGAATCACCCCAAACTGTAAATAACTGCTAGAACAGCGGTCACCAACTGGTGGGCCGCGGCCCACTGATGGTCCGTGAGAAAATTTTGGTGGGCTGCAGAGAAATCTCACCCCCAGAGCACCCCCCTCCAAAGCAATTAATCCAGGCTTTGCAGAAACACAAGGCTGCGCCTCCCACATGGCCCGCTGGAACCCTCCCCACCCACTCACTCCTTACCCGGTAAAACTTGTCTGCTAAATTGCTATTTTTCCTTTTTCAGACCATCATCTGTTCTGCAATGCTGGGAGATTTAGATTAGCTAGGAAGCAGGAAATGGTTGGATTGCTTTCTAGCTAAGCGCAGCTGAACCTCCCTTAGGACTGAAGGTTTGCTTGCAAGCAAATTCAGTGCAGACTCACAGCAAGCAAATTTGAGAGACTGAGCTAGCCGATGGCAGATAGATTGATCATTGAATGATTCTGTGAGCAACTCAGTCTGCCTGCTTTGCCTGATTGTGGATAAAAGTTGCTTTTTAAAATAAAAAAATCAATATTTACATACATGGTATGTTGTGAGATAATTTTGTGAGTTTGCTTGCTAGCAAATTTTATGTGAGAGACTGAGATAGCCAATGGCAGATAGATAGATTTCTGAATGAATCTGTGATTCTGTGAGCAACTCAATCTGCCTGCCTGCTTTGCCTGATTTTGGGTAAAAATTGCTCTTTTTTATTAAAAAAATCAATATTTATATAAATATTTATGATATTTACATACAAGCCCAGCTAGTCACATGACCACTGAGCCACACCCACAAATTAGGCCATGCCCACAGAACCAATTAGTGGTCCCTGGGATCTAAAATTATGAGATTGGTGGTCCCTGAGGTCCAAAAGGTTGGCGACCCCTGTACTAGAAAATAAGGCCCGAGGGCTCTATTTTCATGGGGAGAAATGTAAAATTTGATCACTGGTTGAATTAGTCAAGTCTCCTCCATCAGTACATTAAAAGCAGAGAAGCAGTAGAGGAAAGCATGGCTCAAAACTTCCTGGAAAATCACATTTTCCAGTGGGTGGTTAACAAATCCAGTTGTGCATTCACACTACCTGGTAAGCTTAGTTAATGTCAACCACAGCTAGCTTTGTTTGGTTTGGGTTGCACACAGTCTTGCACAAACTCAGATCATTTGTTATGTTTCTGGGCAAAAATACTCAACACAGTAAGCCAGTGGAGGATGCTGTGTGTGCAGTTTAGATGCACAGGTGGGTGCAATTTGAGGGCTCTTTTTTGCAAATACCCAGCTTTGTGGCCAGTGCTAAAAACTGGAACTGACTTAATTCTGATGCAACTTGCAGCTATCTTTTATT